GAACTACCGTACCTAGCACAATGAAGAATACGAAGACTAGGCGGCCCCAATTTCCTCCTGCCGTCAGCCCGCATAGTAAGGATGTGCTCGCTGGCAGGTTTGGCGTTCTGGCGTACAGAGACGTTGTGGTGCACGGAGGCATTGTGGCGTGCAAAGGCGTTGCGGTGCACATGGTTCCTGTGGTGTACACAGGCGCCGTGGTGTACACGAGCGCAATGGTGCACGCAGGCAATGTGCTGTACACAGGCGCTGCGGCGCACACAGTTGCTGCAGTTTACACAGGCACTGCGGTGTACATAGGCGACGTGGTGTTGCGGTTCACGCGGCTGTTTTGGTGTATTGGGGCATTGTGGTGTACACACGCGGCGCTGTGTCGCAGGCATTTTGCTTGGTCGTGTGCGCAAAGACTACGGCGAACGCAGGCGATTGATGCGCCGGTGGCGCAGATGCACCCTGGCGGGTGCACGCCGCGGCCGCCGTTACTGTTACCCTCCCGCCCGATCCCCCCCCGGGTAGCGTCCGTCACCCGGGAAGCGGAAAAAACGCTCACGAATTCTAGGAATCGATGGACGGGGTGGTTCTGAAGACCCTTATAGGCCCCCCCGAACACTGACACGCGTATGAGCCTTGCGGCGCTTCACCACGTTCTGAAAGCACGGTGGACTAATGGAGGATGACGATTAATAAATGACCGGGGGTCGTGTTCACGCGGCGGCGCCCGGGATGACGATTAGAAAAAACCGGCCGCGGGCTGGAAAACTATTTCTTTAAATCGTTCTCCTCCAGTCAGAAAGTTGTGCAGAAATAGCAGAAAACTATGTTTTTAATCGTTCTCTACCATTTTTTATTCATCGTCATCCCGCATTATGCCGCTAGAAACGGCCCAGTATGTCCATGATTGTCCAGGCGAGACTCCCACAGGCCCCAAGAGAGGCCCCAGGTCGCCAGAAGCGTCCCAGGCAGCCGGGGGCCGAGAACCCAGGCGGCGGGCCCTACAGAGCCGCGGGTGTTGCGGAAGTGCTGAGAGTCTATGTTGTTGGCCCGTGGAGGGGTAGATGCAAGACCGTGATGAAGAGGAAGGTGTAAACAGGAGGATGAGGAGGATGCGGGGGTGGCGTCTGATCTGAGGGTGGAGGAACGGGTGGGTGGACGAGGAGAAGAGATGGCCCAGGAGGAGTGGGGCTTGGGAGGCGGCGGCGGAGGAGAAGGAGCAGGACGGACACGGCCCTGAGGACGCAGAGGGCGAGGGGAGCGGTGAAGAGGACGGTGGGAATGAGCACATGGTCGGGGACCCTTGCTTAGCGCGTCGCCTCGTCGATTATGGCCCACCACTCTTCGGCGCGCTGGGCGCCTCCTACGGGCTCTGGTGGCCCCTCGGGGTCTTGCCTCTCTTCCCCTCCGCCCCCCGCCATCTATAATCTGGGGATTTTCTCAGTGCCTATCTCTCCATATCTATCTCTCCGTCTCTTTTTGTTGTCTCAATTTCTCTACAGTCAGGCTGCTGAAGTCAGGAACGATCAATGAGGAACTGAGCCCTATTTCTTGGCGCCAGAAGCGCCTGCGTGCACGAGGAGGGCTCTAGGAACAGCCATGGAAGGACCTGAGGAGCATCGAGCCCATTTCGAACCTAAACTGTTCCTTATTTCAGCGTCTTGATTGTATATCGGAGGTTGGGGATTGAGACCAAATAGAGGCTCCCCCGCCGGAAACTCCCTTCGTGTCTTGCGTGACGCGCCTTGCGGGCGAGTGGAAGCGAACTTGCGCGAGGTCCTGCCCCTAAGCAAATGCCAAGTCAGACCAAAATGGGTCGCCCCGAATTGTCCCGATAGACCAGCAGGGTGCCCCCAGGTTGCCCCCAGGTTGTTCCAAGTCCGTTGCTTCAGGGTGCCCACAGGTTGTCTCGATAGACCCACATGTACTAGAAGTTGTTGTCCTGATGGTCGTCCAGGTGTTTGGTCCGATCGTTGTCTCGATGGGTTGTCCCGCTGGCTGCTCCGATAGATCGAGAATGAAATCGCCATATAGGTTGATGGGGAGACCGGTATGTATCTATGTTTATACATGTTTGTATGCACAAAAATATGTCTATGCATGTGTATATTTAGCGATCAGTAGACAGTGGCATCGATTGCTATGTAGATCGGTAGATGGATCGGACAACCGTTGTTTTGATGGTTTTTCCTCTGGTTGTCCCGATGTTTGCCCTGATAGTGAGATCGCCATAGTATTACGCGAAGCGCCGTATCAGAGTGAGGGGGCCGAGCGGCCTTTCAGTGTCCCTAGGCGCGTGGCTGAAGTGGGGTTCTGCAGTGCTGATTGATGTTGCGTTATTGCGTTGTGGTTGTTGCGTTGTTACGTTGTTGTTGTTGTCGTCGTCCTCGCCCGAGACCCGCCCGCAACCCAACCCTCGATCAACCCCGCGATCCACCCGCGACCCACTCACATTGCTTTGACGAGAATGCGGCGCCTGCGCCTGGCTCGTTGCGCAATGTGTTAAAATACGGCGCCTGCGGCGGGCTTCTGCAGTGCCTCACAGACTGCCGACGACCCCACTGCTGTTTCACTCTTATCCGCAACTGCGGGGTGCTACGCATTTGTATACATATATATATATATAGGCCGCAGCACCCACCGTGAACCCCCCTTTTCTCTTGGAAGATGCCAAGAAAAATGGGGGGCGGGTGCGGTTGGAGTTTCGGGTGTCGCGTCGTGTTGTGGTGGTAGGATCTGGAGTACATGTGTGTGTGTGTTGGAGACGGAGGGAGCCTGTTGAGTATCGGGTGTTGTGTTGAAGAAGGAGGCTGTTGAATACTGGGTGTTGTGTTGGAGACGGAGGGAGTTGAGTACAAGGTTCGTTTCAAGTTCAGCTTGGGGAGGGAGCCTGTTGAGTATCGGATGTTGTGTTGGAGAAGGAGGCTGTTGAGTACTGGGTGTTGTGTTGGAGACGGAGGGAGTTGAGTAGAAGGGAGCTCAACACGTCTTCCAAAAAAAGAGCCTCAAAAGTGAGTCCGAACATCGTTGGAATCAGATATAAATTCATATATAATCATGAGAAAGGGGGGTTCTTGGTGCAGCTTGGGGAGGGAGCCTGTTGAGTATCGGGTGTTGTGTTGAAGAAGGAGGCTGTTGAATACTGGGTGTTGTGTTGGAGACGGAGGGAGTTGAGTAGAAGGTTTTTTCAAGTTCAGCTTGGGGAGGGAGCCTGTTGAGTATCGGGTGTTGTGTTGGTGAAGGAGGCTGTTGAGTAATGGGTGTTGTGTTGGAGACGGAGGGAGTTGAGTAGAAGGTTTTTTTCAAGTTCAGCTTGGGGAGGGAGCCTGTTGAGTATCGGGTGTTGTGTTGGAGAAGGAGGCTGTTGAGTACTGGGTGTTGTGTTGGAGACGGAGGGCATTGAGTAGAAGGTTCTTTTCAAGTTCAGCTTGGGGAGGGAGCCTGTTGAGTATCGGGTGTTGCGTTGGAGAAGGAGGCTGTTGAGTAATGGGTGTTGTGTTGGAGACGGAGGGAGTTGAGTAGAAGGGAGCCCAAAAAGTCTTCCAAAAAAGAGCCTCAAAAGTGAGTCCGAAAATCGTAGGAATCATATATAACATCATATATAATCATGAGAAAGGGGGGTTCTTGGTGGGTGCACAGGGCTATATATATATATATGTATATATATATATATGTATACAAGACTGAAGTGGCGCTGCGTGCCGTTCACCATTGTCCTTGAAGTTTAGCGTGCAGGCAGAAGTCGCGGCCGACGGGCGGGAAGGTAAAGCGGATTCAATAGCGATACCTCGTTGCCTTGTCCGAGGTCGTCGGCATAATGATGCCACTCGTTAACCTTCCTTTATGCTTTTTTTGCTCCTCTTCATCAGTCTCGCCCTCCCCTGCGAATTCACGGGGGCCTCACGGAAGTTGTGCATGGCTTTTTAGAGGCCTTCTTCAGGCCTCCTGGGCGCTTTCGCCTCTGGGGGATTCCTCGAGCCACCCTGCTTTCAATTGCGGTCTCCCTGAACGACCGGGTTACGCTTTGGAATGCTCCGGGGGGCTTTTTGGGGCCAGCTTGGGCCGTCATTGAGCACTCTTCGGTTCAAGTTCGGGCCCTCTTTGGCCGTTTTGAGTGTCTCTTGGACTGCTTGGAAGCCCTCTCGGATAGTTTTTGCATGATTATCGGGCCTCTTGGGCGGTCTCGGACGCCTGGAAGACCGAAGAACAGAGCATCCCCAAAAGCATGTTAAAACATCGGAGACCAATGTTTCTCTGCATTTCGAAATCTTCTTGGGGGTGCTCCTTGGGTCGTCGTCGAGCGTCTGGTGGGTGTTTGGGGCCCCTTGGGGCCTCGGGGGGCTGTTCGGCCGCCCTGCTGACCGATTTGGGCCCGCTGCCCGGGCCCGGGGCCCCCAGGAGCTCCCAAACGCCCGGGGGTACTTCTACAAGGGCGTCCAAGGGGCCCCCGGGGCCAGGGATGCCGGGCTCCCGTTTAGGGGGGGGGAGGGTCGCAGGGTCCCGGATCGTACAAGCATAGGAGAGGGAACAGGCATACAGAGAGAGGTGGACAGTCTTGTGGAAGTCGAATAATGGAGAGGAAGCGTGTTGTCAAATCATTCCCAGATGTCTAGCACATGCTTCAAACATGTTTAAAACATGTTTAAAACATGTTAAGAACATTTTTCCCGAAATGTTAAACACATGTAAAATTCAGTGATCGGGCTGTTAGGGTGTCCACTGTCGTGGCATCCACAAGGATAGTCAAAGCGCCCACCCTGCCATGTGTGACCCCTCGGGAAGTGAATTGTTCGTTCATTGCAAATCAAAGATGATGTCCCCAAAGAGTCCCGCATCACCCGAAAACCCGTAACCCGGCTTCCCTCCACCTCTGCATCACCCTCTCATGTTCCGAAGTCCCTCTCCCTTTCCTTCTGCTGTCCCGAAGGACGGTTCCATGGAGCTTCCGACACGTGTCTCGTTCTTTCATGCCCATTTTCTCATGCGTCTCCTGTCTTTCTGTGGCTCAGGACTTACGCGGCTTGTACGTCAGAGCAGGGGTCCGCAGTTCCCTTGCGCACTCTTCTTGCGTCTCAGCAGTTTCAGCATGTGCGTGCGCATGCACGCATGCACGTGCATGTGCATGCGCATGCACGCATGCACGTGCACGGCTGGTCCTGCCGTCGGGCGTTGCGGGCATCGCCGTTGCCACAACTAGGGTGTGCTTGTCGGTAGGTGTCACATCATTAATGCTTCCTTCCACGTTACCTCTCCCCCTCCATGCCGACTTACTTGTGCTTCTCCAATGCAATGTGTTGCTCGCGCGGTATACGAAATCGCTGGGCCCGCATGGCCTCGTCGCTGCCCAAGTGTGGAAGCTGGTCGAGAGCAACTTTGGAGGTCACGGGCGCTGGCGGAAATCGCACCCCTGGTCCGAAGGCGGTATGTTGCGGGATGGTCGCGGTGCCAGTGGAGACGGGCGTTGAGAAATATTTAGAGCATGAGTTTTGAATGTGCGGGCGGGCCTAGCCGTAAGAAGAGTTGATTGAATCGTTTCGCTCATTCCGCCGGCTCATCGGGAATGATGTTTTCTTGCTTATGGGGGCTCTCTCGGGGGGCTTCTTGGTGGCCGCTGGGGGAGTCTTGAACGCGTCGCGGGCCGTCTGGACGCGTTTTGCCTATGGGGACTCTTTCGGGAGGCCTCTTGGTGACCTCTTGGGGACTTTAAAAACGCGTCGGGTTGTTGGAACTTGCTTGCGTGCTTGGGGGGGCATTAGGGGGGCCTCCTGGGGCCGTTTGGGGGCCTGTTGGGGGCCTCCTGAGGGCCTGTTGGGGGCCTCTTGGGGCCTCTTAGGGGCCTCTTGGGGAGTCCTAGGGACTTCTTAGGGCCGAGGGCTCGAAATGATGTTTCGTGTTCCCTTCCTGGGGCCTCTCTTGGGGCGTTCTTGGGGCCGTCTTGTAGGCATCTTGGGCCGTCTTGGAGTCCTCTTGGGCCAATGAATTGTGCCTCTTGGGGCCCTCTTGAGAGTGCTCTTGGAGGCCTCTTGGGCCGTCTGGGGGCCATCTTGGGCGCCTTGGAGCGATCCTGTGGCGTCTCGAAGCTCTCTTGTATCATCCTGAGGAGCTCTTGGCGGCCTCTTGGCCTTTCTTGGGGCTCTCTGGACGGCCTCGAGGGCGGCGCCCAGGCGGAAAGCCATCTCTGATCCGAGCCTCCCGGGACCTGGCCGGGGTACTCTTCGTCCGGGGGGACCCCCAGGGGCAGGGCCCCCGCGCGCGCGAAGTATAGAAGTACTGTAAAAAGCAGTTGCCGGAGGTCTCTCAGCACGCCTCTGGCCCGTTGGACGGGAGAATTTTCTCGCGGGGGCCAGCGCCTCTCTCCCTCTCTCTCTCTCTCTCTCCCTCTCTCTCTCTCTCTCCCTCTCTCTCCCTCTCTCTCTCTCTCGTGGAGCCCCCCCCTTTCCCCCAGCGCGCGGAGACCCTCGGCGGGAGGAGAGGCTTGCCCGGGGTCCCTGCAGTGCATGCGTGCAGTCGGGCCGCTGAAAGAAGGATCCGAGGCGGGCATTTATCCATATCCACCGCCTGGAGGGTCAGTTTTCGGAGCCTCGGCAGGCGGTGGCTATGGAGATATTCGGGCCCCCGGGGGCCGAAATCTATCCATGTCCACCGCCCGCTGGGGCACCAGGGCGTCGGTTCCCAGGCGGTGGATATGGAGAAATCCCCGCCTCGCAAAGAAACGCGTAATAGGG